TATATAATTAAGTTTATAATATATTAAATATTAAATATATTATTATTTAATATATTTAATAATAATATTTATTTAATATTATTATTTATTTAATATATTATTATTTTAAATCTTATTACATGTTTTCAGAAATTAAACCACCAAACACAATTTCAGTTTTTTTAAAATTGAAACCAATTTCAGAATAAAACTACCAAACGTATTTTCAGAAATGATTCCAAAATGAAAATAAAAACGTTTTCATTTTCATTTTCGTACAGAAAACAAAAATGTTTTGAAACCAATTCCAAACGCACCCATGGTTTTCTGTTTTCTTTTTTTCTCTTTGGGAATTTCCTTAACTATTTTCGTCAGCAAAAACACACGTACTAGAGTATCTTTACTTCAAGCCTTTTTTAAAATTTTGTCAAAAACCCTGTCTTGAATTTGCAGGAGAACTAAATTATGCCGACTTATGGTCAGCAATGTCCCCTAGCTAGAAGAAAGAAAGGGTATGCCTGCGTGTAGAAGACCTAAACCCTAATTCGGATCAGCCTATGAAAAGTAGTTTCCCGCATTTTTGATCCCTATTTGCATTTCAGTGATCCAGAACAAGGGCGGAGGGAATTGTTTCCCAATAGCAGGAACTTTCTTTCCTGGTTGTAAGGTTTATAAACCCGTGGATTGGTCTGGTATGAGAAGTTATGGGACATCTCTTTTTTATAGGTTCTACGGACCGATGCTTGCTGCACTCGATTCGAGTTTTGTTACAGTAAAAAGCTCTCAGAAACAGTCATATTTAACTTTTTTGCTACAGTAAAAAGTTTTCACACAAAGTCACATATCAACTCGAATTAGCGAACTAAACAGGCCCCTAATATTTAAGTAAACGACAAAACAAGTAAAGGAAAAAAGGAAAATAATCAGAGTCTTGTGGTATAAATCTCATATATTAAATAATCAGGTAAATTAGCTAGATTAAGAAATTCATCCTATAGAAAAAGTTGTTTATTTTCCTTTTTCCCCTGGTCATCTTAGGCTTCATTCATTTCACCGATTCGAGTTTTCAGTTTTAAATTTTTACAGTTAAAAACTCTCAGAAAATGTTACATCTAACTTTTTCTACTACAATTAAAAACTCTCAAAAAATGCTACATCTAACTTTTTCTACTACAATTAAAAACTCTCAAAAAATGCTACATCTAACTTTTTCTACTACAATTAAAAACTTTCAAAAAATATTACATCTCAACTCGAATCTGCAAAACGAACAAGGCATAATTCAATTCATTTTCCTTAGTCACAACTCACAATAAGTATGACTTAAAAGAAAGAAACGAAATGTACTCTCATTTAGTTCTCAAGTTTAAATAAAAAATTAGAATATATATTTAATTTTTATGAAAAAAAATTATAATTAAAAAAATTTGGTTTAAACTTATGAGCCAAAATGAAATCAAATTAATTAAAGTTTGAATTAGCCACAACAAGTCGCTCGAAAGTATAGTGCAAAAGCACACTTTCCTTCTTTTTTTTTTTCCTTATTGTTTTGATGGGCAAACAGTGAAAAGCATTTGCCTTTGGTTGACCCATTGGATTAGTTTAGATGTGACTGATATCTCTCTTTCAATCAGTATGATCCACATAATACTAAATGGTCAAACTTAAACGCTTACGAAAACCTGCTTAGCTTTTATCGAGTAAAACACACCGTTGCATTAACGTCCACCAGCTGACTGCGGAACAGCGTGAAAAAAAAAGCTTCGATTCGAATTTTTAATTTTAAATTTTTACAATAAAATTTTTTTAAAAAATATCACATTTAATTTTTTCTATTATAATAAAATTTTTTTAAAAAATATCACATCTCAACTTAAATTAAAAATTTAAATCTGAGAAGTAAACGAATAAAGTGTATTCACGGTTAAACTTAAAATTTTATCAGTACCACGGAATGGAATGTGTTTGTTTTATTTGGACAAAATTACCCCTTCCAATATGTACGATTTGTCAAGAAAATATATACTAATTATTTGATTAAAACAGCCCAATAGAATTATTTCCAGAGATAAATTTCGTTTAAAAATTGCTATATAACTAATAAAATTATTATCTATTTAAAAAATAATGAAATTATTTCAAAATCTTTTTTTCCCCAAATGCATTGGCTCCCATTGAGGACAACCCAGCAACCAGGGAGTTTGACGAGCACAGATCTTAGACGCTCTTTTTTCGCTCTTCGCCGGAGTTAGACGCCTTACGTATGGGTGAGGAGCTCACTGGAGGATCTGCGTGAAGAGGGCAGATTTGGGTGAGTATCGGAAAATCTGAGAGGAGAGAAGCTGCGATCTTGAAGGAGGAGAAGGACAAATCCGGCGAGGAGGAGCGGTGTTTCTGATCAGGAAGAGAGGGACAGGTCTGGGCGACGTCGGACTTGCGGGAAGAGCCAGATGGGTGACGACGGTGAAGAGAGCGAGGTTTCGGCGAGAAGCGCGGAGGAGGAGAGGGACTTAGGCAGTTGTACAAGGGCGGCGTATGTCGTCGGAGGTGCAGCTGTTCGGAGGACATTGGAGTAGATAGAAGCTGGTGATGGTGTTCTAGAAAAGACGAAGAAGAAGGGTAACATAGGAAAAAAAAAATGTTAAAATGGGTTGGAATGGCTTTTCCTTCCATCTGAGGAAGGAAGGGCTATTCAGCTAAATTGATGGAAAGGCCATTCTTTTACCTGAGCCAACCAAACAACAGATTTCACCGCCTTTTCTTTTCAATTCCATTCCTTTCTTTCCAATTAAACGCCTTTTTTATTTTTATTTTTTTTCATTCCATTCCTTTCAATTGAATTGAAAGATTTTCTTTTGAAAATTTTCTAGTATTCTCTAATATGACTGAAAAAAATAAATTATTAATAGTTTTTTATTTTTCAATCATTAAATTTATGTCAAAACTTTTTAATCTGTGTACAATTTTTAATATAATATAATTTTAACTAAATTTAATAATCAAAAACTGATATTACTAGTATTATAGTCTAGGGAAAAAGGTCCATATTTCTTTTTTGTCTTAATTAAATTGTGGCTAACTAGACTCATAATCATAATATATCATCTTTCTTTTATTAAAAAGAAAAAAAAAAGAAAAAGAAAAACAAAGAAGAAATGAAAACCCATCGCGTTGTTGGTAAATATTGCCTACGCAATATTATCAGTCATATGTATCCCTTATTTTGGTGTGACTGTTTTTTTTTATTATTATTTTCTTAATTACAAGGATTTTTTTTTTTATATTCAGCGAAAAACACATGGATTTTGTGAGATATGGTCGGCAAAAAAAAAAAAATCTTTTGAAAATAGAATTTATATTGAGTCTAGTTGTAAATTTTAATATATCTATCTTTGTATCATCTGAAGCTAAATGATAGTGATGACATTCTTCAAATTTTCAATTGAAATATTGAATTATATACCAAAAAAAAAAAGGAAAAAGGAAACTCTGATAATTTATAGGAAAAACAAACAGCGGCCTTTATCATAGTTGTAACCCGTTTGGTTGGAGAATTCGTTATCTAATTCGAATCATGGTTCATGGTTCGCTATAGTATTTTCTCTCACAAAAAATACACGTAAATAAAAAATGGTTATAATCTCATAGTTCTAATTCATGAACCAAACGGAATCAGTTTTTATAATTGGTTTATCTCAAGCATGCCGTGATCAGTGCAATTCTTTTTCTCGATCCTAGCCAAGTAGAATATTTTTCAGCCAATATATATATACGTATAAACCTAGAAACAATATTGGTTTTATAAATTAGTTAGTCGATTATTATCTCAAAGAACATGCATAATTGCTTTAACCTACAGGCTACGAATCACGGACTTAGAATCCGCTGGTCCCC